CATACATACTTTTTCTTTATAATCTGCCATAGTTTTTGGAGAAAGATAGTGAAGTAATTTTCTGTTATCTGCATAGATTGGAATTCAAAATTTTTCCTTTTTTAGATTGGTTGATGAAAGAGTCTAGTCTACTCTGTTATTTAACTCATAGCTGGGGAGAGAGAGAGAGAGAGAGAGAGATTGATTCAAACCTTTTTAAAGGGTATCTGTGGGAAAGTGAATGCAAAAGACTAGGTGGAAATTTAAATTTTGCCTGTTGGTTCCACTCTCTATATCAATATCTGTTGTGTTACTGATATGTACCTTAAATATTTAGAAGATAAGACATACCAATATATAATGATTTGATGTTCATCAAATTTGACGGTTTAACAATTAATCTGATTCATAAAAAGTTTCCCCTTTAAATTCTTTTGATGTTTGGTCCCTTTGTCAAATTTTAGGAAGTGGGTTGAGATGAAACATTTTGTAACAGAGCAATGGTCCTGGTTGAGTCATACTAATGCATAGAAAGTGCTTAGTGACTTAAGGTATTGAGAGATTTAATGATTCTGAGTGAAGGAGTAAAGATATTAGGAGAGAAATATGGGAGAGTGTTTAATCGGATTCAAGTATGATGAAAAAAATGCCTGGTTTAAAAATATTAATTTAAACCCATAAAATACTTATAAGATTGCCTCAGAAGAGTCTGAACTCAAATTAAACTAAGTAGGATAAATTATGACACCTCCAGGCCAACTCCATAACAATAAGGAAGTTGGCATGACATGACTAATGATTTTTTAAAAAGGCCACATGATTTTCAGTAACTTCAGGGTTTGTTTTTTAGTAATCTATTTGGCATATTTATGTTGGTTTCAATGTAAATTTTGGAATTTAGTGTTTATGGAGGAATGGTGAGCTATACATTCAGAAAACTGTTCAAGATATTTGTCATGTGTGTTACTCATAAATTTTCTCAAATTCTTAAAGTCATTTTTTTTTGTCTTGTCAGTGCTTTCAACTTCCATGATTGTTTGCTTTTCTCTATTTAACATTTTTACAATTTCCAATATTGTGTTTGCATCATTCAGTAATTTTGCAATATTTATTTATCTTTGAAGTTATATCTTTCTTATGATGCATGACAATTGTTACATAACTAAAATTAAAAAAATAAATATCAATAATTATACAATTATTCATTTTTATTTACAATATGATGAAAAAAACCCCAAATTGTATAAGAAAATCTCACACAAGATATATGCGTGGGTGGTGTAATGTATAGTGGCTTCGAATGAGAAATCAAAGAGCCAAGTTTTAATTCCACTAGAGTTCATTATATTCACATATGTGCAAATATCCTTGGAAAAGGTATGAATCCATCTCTTCTGTCTCCAGATATTGGTGAAATGGTAGAACTTGTATTTGGAAAAATCATTGTTATCTCTCCTAAAACTGTTTACATAAAAAAAGAAAAAAAAATTTATTCTTATAATTAAAAAAATATGTTTTGGCTTTAGATAACCCACAAAGGGTTGATAAACCATAAAAACAAATTGATCAAAACACCAAATAAGTTATTGTAATCTAAATAAATAAATGGCAAACTCTGTCTGTCTACCATGTCTGAAACCCCTCTAATTCGGGCCACACTTACTTTACATATTATACCTTTTTTGAATCAGGATTAAAAATCAGCCCATCATCTGGTGCTTGAACATCCAGCATTGGGATTTATGTCTAGATGAGGAGGGGACAGTTATTAATTCAAATTTTAAAATAATTGAAAAAATTAATGATTTTGAAAGTTTTTGAGTTTAAAGTAACAAAAACATTGTGAATTTAAAAATTTTTGTTTTAAATTCAGTTTAAAATGTCTCCAAACCTTTTTGAATTGATTAAATAAATTTGATCTCTTCAAAATGCCAAGGAATCAGAGTTAAAATGAAAGGTTTCATGATGTGAGGTTTTAAAGTTCCACAGAGTTTGTGATTTGAAGAATTAAATTTTTGGCCTGAATTGGAATTTCTGCCAAAATCGGTCTTTTAGCCAGAATTAGACTTATAGCCCAAATCAGTGTTAAAATGAAGTTTTGAAGTTCCAGGAAGTGAAATAAGGAATTCAAAGTTATTTCTTCAAAATTATCATTGCTGTTTTCTAAGCTGGACCAGAGGTCTCTTTGGTTTTGGGCTGGAGACCCAATTAGTCCTCTGCAGGAGCCATCTTAAAAGTCCACATATAGTTTTAAGCTAGTTTATAATAAAAGCAGGTATTGTAAGCTGAAGTTCATATGTTTTATTTATATATGTATATCTTGATTAATTTACCAACATTGGTCAGTTAATACCAATTTTACAGGTTGAACATCATTAATCTGGCTTCATTGGGATCCATAAGGTGTGGGATAATATTGCTAGAGTACTGATGGTTATGCTAAAATACATTTAACCTAACAGTTAATCACTTTATTGTACCCTTAAAATAAATTGTAAATCAGTACATGATACTTAATAATAGCAAAAGAAAAATCAAATTAAAATAAAGGGAAAATTTAATGAATTTAATTTATTCATTGGAGCTAAACATTAGCAGCTTATAATAAAAATGCACAAAAGACAATTGAAAGGCTTTTGAAAGTGCTCAAAAAATAGATAATACAGCTGCTAGTTGCAAATATATATATTGACCTGGGAAATCTGTAATTGCTCTTGTGGATTACTGATTGGACTGGATTATTCGATTAATTTGAAGTGTAAAACCCATGCACAGTTTGCATTAAAAATTTCCAGAATACTTACATTTATGTGTAATTGTACATGCTCCATTTGAATCTGGCTTGATAAATTTGATAAAATCTATCAATAGTGAAAGTTTGGTTTCATTCATATTGTGAGTAGACATTACTGGTGTTGTTTGCATACATTTGCTGCAGAATAGCTATCAGTGTCGGTATCATTGCACAAACTGCGCGTGTCTATGTAAATAGTTCTCATGTACAGTAAATGAGACAAATTTAGACAAGAAAGATCAGTTCCATACTTATCTTTCCATAGTCTTCCACATTTAGCTTTCCACAGCGAATGTATGCAAACAATGACAGTAATGGTTGCCACCAATTGCATGAATGAACCCGAACTTTCATTGTTGATAACTCCAAAACAGTGGATTTTATCAAACTCATCAAGCCAGATTCGAATGGAGCATGTTTAATTACATATTAAATGTAAGTATTCTAGAAAATTTTAATGTGAACTGAGCACGGGTGTTACACTGTAAATTAACCGATTATTCATTTCTGGATTGGTGATGGCCAACCTCTATTATGAAGACATTCATTTTTATAAAAGAATCTGATGATTATGCAGCTGAACAAAGAAAAAGTAAGTATGAGATTTTTACATGATTAAAGTTGGAATTGCCCAAATGTGTCTGCAAGTTTCACATGTCCAACTAAATCACTGCTTTATGGACCCATCTCTGATATTTCTACAATCTTACATAAACACAGAATACCTTTGCAGAGTATTGCTGCTGAGTAAGTCAGGGAGCATCTGAATACATCTGTAAATGGGTAGCACTGTATTTCAATACACAGTGTTAATACATATGATCAACTAGATGTACTGGAAATCCATAACTTTTAACCTATTTATATTTGGACTATTGTCCTCATCTTTGTTGTTGTTATCACAACATTTTGGCTGGTGTGCCCTTTGGGCTTCCTCAGGTGTATATCAATCTAGGTAACCTAGAGAGAATTCTGAACTGAACCCTTTATCTATGACTGTTTTAATTTCACTGCTCATCTCTAGGGTTATTGATAAGTTATTATTATTATTTAGTACTGTTCAGTTATTGCTTTCTTGTTTCCAGTTTTCCACTAAGTGTAAGTATGCACTTCCCAACCCAGGGATTGAACTCACAACTACTATGTCCCCAAATTCACAGACTAATGCTTTTACCCACTAGGACAATTTGCTGTAGTAAATTTAGAACCTTAAACTAAACCTGGCTGCTGATTAAGTTGTAACTGCTGCTGCTGGTTGTCATGTTTTGAATGCTGCTGCTGATGATGTTTTGTAATAACAAAGCTGGGGGCAATAGTCTAAATATAAAAAGCAGAAAAAATGATAACTCCTCATCTCAGAAATTCAGACAAAAATTTTATATAACTATAATCTAAGCCCTATCTCATAACCAGTAATATCAAGGATGTTAAATTTGGTATCATTTGAAAGATAAAAGAATTTACCTTCATATAAAATCAACTTGTAATGAGTTGATTTTTCAATAGTTTTTGAGATACATCATTTTAACTGCATTAACATAACAGATTTTTCGACTTAATAAAGACTCCAGGGATTTAAGAAATGAAATTATCTTGTAATAATTGATTTCTAATGGTTTTGAGATATATCATTTTAATTCCACTAATATAATATATTCAGATTTTTCAGCAACTTGACCAGGACACCAGGGATTTAACAACTGAAACCTCTTAAGAGCTGATATTGTTAAATTGCATATTAATTTCAAGAATCATTTAATAATATTAATAGCTAGCTGGACATTTGGAAATCCCACAAGTGTTGACAAAATAGATTATCCATTATGCTTTCACTCTTCACTCTCCTGTTGCCTATATACTAACCTTTTCTCTTATTCTTTCCATTCATTGTTATCCAACCATGTTTTTTTATCTAAATATCATACAAACATATACAAAAAGTGAATAAAAAATGTATTCGACTGCATCCTCTCTTTTATCTTTGTTTTGCTCTATCTCTTTTATAGAAATTAATATATTGTAATTTTTATATCTTTGTATCTCTATCTGGCTTTCAAACTTTTGCTTATTGTACTAATATCCACCCAACAAGCCTATTTCTTTATGCCTTTCCACAGTTTCTATCCATCCCACATTAATATATATATATATATATATATATATATATATATATATATATATATATATATAATATCAAAATACAATACAGTTAACAAAAAAGCAGCTAAACTGTTTATTGGTCCTTTCTCACAAGAGTATAATCGAGAATGACAAATGAATACAGTGACAAAAACGAACACTAAAAGTCAAATGTTATATATTAAATATATAACAATTACAGACTAATCACATTTAAGCCTAACAACCACTTCTTTTGCTTAGAGGGAGATGGCTGGTAGGACTTAATGTAAAGATTTTAACATCTGTCTATACCTCTGAGATGAGGTATTATGATTACTTGCATTATTTACATAATTTGGACTGTTATCCTCATTTTTATTGCCATATTCACAACGTCATTATCCACCACTAGTCACTAATCAATGTTTTTATAGCCCATTGGATAAAGATGTTGGTTAGTGACTAGATCCAGTGACTAGATGCCATGACTATACCTAAAGAGTTGTGAGTTCAATACCAGGCCACAGCAGTGGTGAATCAAAACTTGGAGAGTTGAATTAAAGGGAAATAACTGAGACATCCATAAGAGGCATGGCATGTGGAACTAGAACAATCTACCCCGGTGGATGAAATAAAGGGATCAGTTCAAAATTTTAATCATCTGAAGAAGGCCAGAGTGTACAATGGCTGAAACGTTGTGAATATGGCAATGAAGATGAGGATAACAGTCTGAATAATGTAAATAATGCAAGATTCTAACATCATCAAATGAAATTCAAAATTAAACTTTTTCAGTAGTGAGAATGTGTATTGTCTATAAGAGTGGGCAAATCGGTATTTTTTTAATGAATGTTGAACTATCATTGAACCAATTATATTCACAGTCCTAGGCAAATTGTCTACTTTGCCCTTGTGAATATTGGCTGGTAGATGCAGATTAGTCTTTACTTCCAACTTTTGGCCCATTCTACTAACATATTATTACACTGACTTTTGAATTGGTAAATTACTAAACTGATATGATGGGGCGGTGAACATCCTTAATTTTTCTCTTGTTTTCTAACCTCCTATCATTCTTCCTTCACACCCTAGTTTTTCATTTTCATATCTGTACACATTTTTCAAAATTCCTTCCTAATTCCGAGATTATTATATACATTTCTTGATCAGAAATTTTAACAATTCCACTTCAGATTTGACAGGTACTACACTAATTCTAGATTTCTCACCTGTGGAACTCCCTTCCAATTTCTTGCTTTTCTCTCAATTACAATCGTCAAAAAATATTTAAATGCGATGCCAATCACCATCTTCCTGTTCTTTTATCATCCTTTCTCCTCACTAACGTTTTTCTCATTTTCTTTGACTCTCTGAAACCAGTTGTGTCCTACTGGTATTATTGCCTTGCTTGTGGTGAAATGATTAAAAAAAATGTTGTACAGACAAACAAACTTAATTATAATATAGATAATAATACTGATAATAATAATTAATAATGTGCATTATTTGACTGAATAGAAAATCTTTTTATGCCACAAATGGCTTTGATTAGTTGATTACATATTATTATTATTATTATAAGAAGAAGAAATAATGGTATATGCACAAACCAGAAAGAATCAGAAAGGATGGAACATAAGAATCCTCTGATCCAGGCTGGATGTCTAGATATGGTTGGAGTAAAAAAAAAAAAAATGCTGTATTGTGTATTTTGTTTTTCCAATTGGACACAGATCTGAAAGTCAAAGGACAAATATGTGTCTTGCCCTTGCGAGTGAGTTGAGAAAGTTGTAAAATATGAAATCCTCCTTAGAGCACTGGGAACAGTTTTGAAGAACTTAGAAAAAATGAGTGGAGGAACTGGAAAATAAGGGAAAAGTTGAAACTATGCACATGATAGCAGCTAAATTTACTGGAGAGAATTCTGGAGTAGTCAGGAGAATTGCACTCAATTTCTAGTTTATTACTGGTGTGAACAATGTGTGAATAATAATAATAATAATAATAATAATCAACACAGTCTTTTATTTTATAGAATATATTTCATGGTGCAATGGGTCTTGATCAACTTTACAGTATGCGACCAGTGCCTTTGCTCAGCAATTACCAATCTCCTGTATCTGGTCTTTATCTTTGCGGTAGTGGAAGTCATCCAGGTAAGAAGAAAAATAACTATTTACATTATTTAAATTTGGACTATTGTCTTCATCTTTGTTTTTGTTATCAAGTTTCATTGTGCCTGCCAGCCTTCAGTAACTGTGACATCAATCTCTGGGCTGGGTAGTACTCACTGCAAACATGATGAGCAATAACTGAGCAGATGAACAAGATGAAAACATGGACAATAGAATGAGAACAATCTCACTGCTCTTCTAGATTAATTAAAATATTACGTTTTAAATTTCCTGAATGTTACCCAGATCAACATTCACCTGAAGAAAGTCAGAGGACACAATAGCCCCAGACATTGTGATAATAACAAAATTGAAGTCAATAATCTAAATGTAAATAAGGAGAAATATACTAATATTTAAAAAATTGGATGAAAAAAGCAGTCTGTTTTTAGTTTAAATTTATATTTTATAATATTTTCTCGTATTCAATTCTTTTTCCTTATTGGAAAAGAAAATTTTAGGTACACTATTTACATAATTCGGACTATTGTCCTCATCTTTGTTGCCATATTTATCCCAATGTTTTGGCCGTTGTATGCTCTTGCCTTTTTCAGGTGAAGATTCCAACCACCTGAAGAAAGCCGGAGCGTACGACGGCTGAAACGTTGTGATAAATATGGCAACAAAGATGAGGACAATAGTCTGAATAATGTAGTGTACATAACACGTCATCTCAGAAATATAGAGAGATACTGAAATTTCAGGTACCTTAAAAAAAACGAGTTAATTTAGTCGGGAAATATTAAGAATATTTTGTTTGATACTAAGACACAATAAAAAAAACAAAAAACAAAACTTTTTTAATTCTTATTTGTCCTAAAAATATTTCCTTGTATTTTGCTTAAAGTTGAAGTATACTCTAAAATATATATCAACTTTGCATAAAAGATCTGGAATTATTTTTGAGAGTCACTGTTTTAGAAAAAAAGTGTGTTTTTTTTGTCATCGAATACAGGACATATATTTTTTTTTATACAGGTTATGTCCTCTTAGCATGCCAGACATGCCGAGTGTAAGGGAAGCAATTTTTTAATGAAGAAATATGCTTCTTTTTTTTTTCTCTCTCTCTCTCATCTTCTGGATTTTAAGTTTAAATCATATCGTTTTTTATTGTGCGTAGTGTCACCACAAATGTATACACACGTTTCCGGGGTCTGTTTTTTAATTTTAATTTAAGTCAGTGAATCGATAGCGAATTATGCATCGAAAAATAATTCATATTTATCTGTATCTCACTCATTTAAACCGTTATTTAATTCTCTTTAAAACTTCTCCTTGTTAAATTTTAATCCCCACCTTCACCTTTAGGCCTTCCTGTTCTTCTTTCTTCTGTTACACCTCTCTCTCTAGCTTTCATACATTTCCCTCTCACACTTGTTTCCCACTCTCACTAATTTTTTTTTTTTTTTATACCTGGAGTTATATTTTCCGATTTCTTTTTGAATTTGTAGGTCTGATGAATTGGATCGTGATTACGATTCCAATGTAATAAATTATAACCATGGAATATTAGTGTTTGAGGCTTTTTTATTATATATATATATATATATATATATATATATATATGTGAATAAATAAATAAAAAATTACTTTAATCATTATTTTAGACTAGAGGGTATCCACATCTGAGTAGACGCTACATTTATTTATTAAACAGTATATTTATTAATTATCATCTATCGGCTTGAATATTTGAAAAAAATTATTAAAGAAAAATATGCATCCTCTGGCAGGACTCTTTCAAAGAGTGATGCAGGTTCGAATCTTACAAGAGAGCACATATTTATTTTTAATAAGATTTCTCGAATATTCAAGCTGGTAGATGAAAATAGTGTAGATTTAAAACACTCCACGAAAAAAAAAAAAAGAAGTTAAATAACAATTTATAAAAGTCAATTTATGTTGGGGTATTTTTTATGTAAATTTGTAGAGTTTAGTTTACGTGTGTGTTTACAGGCGTGTTTATCTTCGGACAACATCGTTAATCTCATTATACACCAATTACTGCTTCACGTTGTGTTGATTGACCATGGAGCTGGCAAGAATCAAATTGTCATCAGCAATTGTAGCGTTGGCTCAATCTCGGCGAAGCTATGTCACAAAGGAAAAAAATGTTCTTGCAGACGAAATAAAGAAAATACAGGAATTTCTTCAAGGCCTATTTCTATGTAGTTTATATCGTTCTTTGTACAGAAATATTAGTTCTTGGTACAGAAATATGAACCTTTCTCACTTTGAATTCTATCGTGACACTTTACTCAATTTAGCTAAGTGGGAGGTTCTCTCTGGTAGCAAGTTGCGTGGGATTCGACAGAGTGGTCATCTCTCGTCTGGAACTTTGGAACAACTCTGGTTTGGTCGCTTCAGTATTCTACTTATACTGATTTCATCTACAACTGAGGTGGGGGTTGACGTGGTTAGGGGACTCAGTGTTTCTCCTATCTTACAACAAGAGCCCATTTGTTGTCTGGCTCTGGAAAATTAATTTTATCTCAAAATTTGGGGAGGTCACTTTTCCTATGGGTAGCGGTCACATTGTATCTATACATCCCAATAATTGCTTACTTCTCTTATTTGTGCCTCATACCAACATCTACCAATAGGCGTAGGCAATTACCCCGTCTTTCCCCTCCTCTCTTAGTATCTAATCTTCACCTGTCACCTCAGTTGTTCGTTTGACAAATCTGGTTCTCAGAGCACATGGCGTAGCTTAGTTACTGGTCATTAAGTAGAATTATCATTTTAATTTTTGTCAGCAAATGTTTCCCAGCCTGGTCTTGCTCATAAAATCAGAAATTTACCAGCTGCTTCCTCCGGTCAGTAACCCCCCCTCCCATCCTGCTAGGGTCATCACACTCCAAGCACCGTGGGCTTGGGTTCTTACATAAAGTAATTCCATTTCCTTGACTTGTTTACAATTTCCACTTTTCGATAGGTAAAGTCCTTAAAATTGCCAATTTTTATCCCTCGCTTTGTGTTTTAATTGGCATTTTTAGGCAGCGTCATCAATCAGCTGTCAGTCCAGCCTTGTCACATAGCTTCTGTGGTAATAGCTTTCCAACAAAGTTACTTCTTTCAAGCCGTCTCTGCTTAAACAAATGGACTTTTAAAATTAAGAGAAATTTCGCTTCTTTCTTTCAGTCTATCTATCGTTCTATTCGTTTTACCCTTTTCGTCTTGCTCCAAGGCAATATTTTTAACTTAACCCTTTTCAGGAGGCACGGTGGATAGCGGCTCGGATTGAGGAATCGGAGAGCCGAGTTCGAATTCAAGTCGAATCCATTACATTCACTTACGTGCTAATACCCTTGGGAAAGGTATGAATCCTTTTCTTCTCCCACCAGCTATGGGTAAATAGCATGACAGATCGGGTTCTTGGATGGCAACTGGTCTACAGCAGAAAGAAATGGCAACCTACTGCGGGAAACAATCTGCCCCGTCAGTCATGTATCGAAAGATACATGATCGCCTAAGCGTGTATCACCAATGGCACATAAGTGACCGACTTTTCTTTCCATTTGCCAGTGTCACATAGTATGTATGTATGTATGTATGTATGTATGTATGTATGTATGTATGTATCTCGTTGATAGTAGTAATCCTTTTGATTCTCTGTGGTATTTTTGGTGTCCTGATAATGTAGGGCATGGGAGAACAGACAAAAATAAAATTATGTGGGGACCTACCTACAAATGGACTCTTCCACACCTATATAATATGGCTAGGGAGTCACCAAGTGAGAGTCACCGAGTAGTATCCATAGAGTGAGTGAGTGAGTGAGTGAATGAGTGAGTCAGTCCACATTTACCTTTGTACTACGTTTCCGAGAATATACTATTTAACCTTATATCCGAGTCCGTGTTATCTTTCTATGGTTTTACACCATAACAGATAGATAGATAGAAACAGATATAGATAGATACATAGATAGAGATATAAAAACATAGATAGATAGATAGATAGATAGATAGATAGATAGATAGATAGATAGATAGATAGATAGATAAACAGACAGAGAGACAGACAGAAACAGAGATAGATAGTGTTGTGTGGACCTACCTACAAATGGGCTCTTCCGCACCTATATAATATGGCTACCAACTCTGAGTAGAGAAAGACCGAGTGAGAGTCACTGAGTCAGGACACCAGTGAGAGAAAATACTCTCCACTCCATAACAAATTATTTCATCGACTCTCTGGTTCCTTTGCCTGGTCGTGTCTATGTTTGTCACGTTTTCGAGACAAAGGAATTCATTTCAGAATTGTCTCTTGCTTCCTGCTTCGTTCATAGGTGTGACTCATTTAACAATACTTTTTTTTTTCACCTACACTTAGGAATGATGACCATTTGGCTTCTTTTAATTCTTTCTTTCTTTTTTCTTATCTCTTTGTTTTTATTTCTTTATGGCAAAACAAAATAGTTTGCAAACTTTTTTGTTTTGAAAGAGTGAACATTTTTATTTTTCTAAATCTACAAATTTATAATAAATTGATCCCTATGGAAGTCAAAATATTTAAGAAAAAAAAAAATTAAATTCGTAATCTTAAGTGCTTAATCAATAATAATAATAATAATAAAGCAAAGAAATACTCCAGATTATTTTTTACATTTTAAGAAATCACGACCTATGAACTATTTGTATTTGTTTTCATAGGCTAGGTAGGTTATCCATTTTACATTGATTTTACATAGTATTAGAATTTAATTTGAGAACTACTACTACAATCTTTTACAAGTTCACGTCCTAACCTCTTTTCTGATCTTTGCCTCGACTTTCACCACTACTTTCAAATTCGGCTCCCAAAGCTTTGATCCTTATCAGAGAAAAGAATATATTTTCTGACCAACGGCTGAGAGAGCTGGAAAATATAAAAAGGAATTTGGCCACCCCTACCCTGACCATGGTGGCATAAATTTCGGGGTTGGGAGGTAACGTTCACAACTTGTTGGACCCATGATTTCAAAAACCAGCTTCCAAACCTTTGATTTTTATTAGAGATAAGAATATATTTTCTGATGAATGAGAGCTATTCCCGATATTTCTGAGCCTTCTAATCTTAATAAATATGGTGGATATGCGCCAATTTGACAGTGAGTATTGGACATCATCTGTGATAGCAACAGGTCGGCGACAGTAACACCAATCATCACGGAACCTGTTTCAAGGAAGAAATCTACATAATGGGCTCCAAAGACAGAAGGTCAGCCCTCTACTAAAAACTACTCAAGATCTGCTTCCTAGGACCCTTGAAACGTCTGTCGTCTGCCTACGAAATCACTCAACTACAAGTTACGGATTCTTCAGTTGGGGTCATTCTCCCAATACTATAAATACTGGGAAACTTGCCTCTTTCTTCATTTCAGCGAACACCGCTACTATGCGAGCTCTCACAAAAGACAGCGTTTCCCATTTCTGGGAAGACGTTATGAACATTACAAACATACACGTTCGTACGAACATTCACTAAAATACGAACATTCACCAAAGAAAAAACACAAATGTTCACACATAAGCACAATTTTAACTGTCTATGTTCATTGTAAAATTGTTTTGTTTAATACATATATTTGTTTATATATATATATATATATATATATATATATATATATATATATATATATATCGGTCTTGTTTGTTTGTCTTCTTTATTTTCAGTTGGACTTAACTTGAGTCCGGCAATTTTTTTTGTAGATGGACCTTTTAATATTTTACCAGGAGTTACACACGTGTTTCTAATGCAACAACACGTAAATACACACACAGTCCTCTACAACCACAAGAACAATTTACTTGCTTAGAGAACTTTTAGACACTCAGAAAATTATTTTGAGCAAGCCTTTATATGAACAATTCTTTTTTCCTTTAACTTAAAGGAATATTCTCCTTTTCTTTCTCTCATAATTTGTATACATACCTTTACCTTTTTGCGTATGTAAATAAACATTTTTTCTTCTTTTGCTGCGCCCCGAGAAGGAATTTGAGTTTTTATTCTTCTGCTTAAAAAGAGGATTGTCCACTCTAAACTTTCAAGCCGTTGTTGTGTAGCGGACCGTGGGAGTGATGAGTATGTATTGTAGAAGAACACATGTGGGTTAAAATTTCCTGCTAGCCGGTCTAGCTACACGAGAAAGTTGGACTTTAATTAAGTCCAGAGAAAACAAACAAAACCTATAATTATATACAAACAAATATATGTATTAACAACGAGTACAAGATACAAGCACATGGACAGTTACATTGAGTGCGTGTGGTGAATATTATGTGTGTGTGTTGTGGTGAGTGTTCGTACGTACGTGTATTGTTCTTAGCGTGTTTCCAGAATTTTGGAAACGCTGTATCTGTGAGAGCTCACATCTGCGAGGTGGTATAAGTCCCAAGGCCTGAGGAAAAAAGAGGTCGAGGCGAAAGGTCAGCCAGTATTTATAGCCAGGGAAGGGAGACCCCTGGTGTAGGGTTAAGGAGCTGAGGAGGAGCTAACTCCGACAGTTGCTTTTATCGATTTTGTTACCTTTAACCATAACCCTTTCATGTGGGAAAGCAAGGGCAAATTTCCCACAATGGCAAACTAGATCTTCACCCTATTAACTTTTATAAAATTTTATGTAAAAAAAAGAAAAAAAAGAAAGAAGATATTTGTGATCTAGAACGCTTAATCTGTAGAAATATGAAAAAAATGATTTTGAAAAAAAAAAAAAAGCAAAAAAAACAAAAAACGATTTTTTCTGGACACAATGCCTATTTTATAGCTTCATCATATAAGCTCCCTTTAAAATACCGTCTTTCTTAGCTTCTTTTTCTTTTACATATCTAACTCTATAATCTATTTTACAATTGGCAACTCTGCTGATTCGACCAATATAGTAACAACGACACACTTTTTCATAATAGCTATCTGTAATTAATATGAATATTTCAGGTACTATTATTTAGTTTTCAGAGCAAGTTTTTTTTTCGCATCAGTCAATAGCAGAATTCATTTGTAAATGTCACTGTTAGATTCCCTTTATTACAAGATTCTTAATGAGTTGTTTTTAATCTCTAAAATTTAGCGTGTAGTTGTGGACGCTTGTGTTTTAGTGCATTTGGACAATATGCACGTTCGGAATGACACAAAATTTGACGGGAAGTGAAAACATTAAATTTATTTATATATTCAAACAACTGAAATACAAAATAATTGTTAAGAGTGGATGAAGTTGTTTGTCAATGAATTAAAATTCGTTAAAGAGAATAAGGTTATGAAGTAAAAATCTTTCCAAATGTTTTCACGTATCAACACGTTCAAACGTAAAACAATTGTTGTCCTACAATCAACTGATCAATCCTACAACCCCTCCTTAAATACTACTGTGTGTGTGATGTATCGATCTATTTTTAACACTGACGAAAATGTCTGGTGATATTTTATAGGTACGGCACTGTTATCTGGAATAGTCAGTTTCGATTATTTTTTTATATATTGAATTACATTTTTGCTCTGTTTTACATAAAAAGCTTGACTCTTGATTGTAATTTATTATATTTTTTTTAATATTTATTGTCTTATATTTTATATATATAATGTTTTTGATCTTTTCTGTTAATTCGTCTCCAAAATTTAATTCACCCCAAAATAAAAAGAATTTATATTTATTAATATTCACTCCAAATTCTTCCAGAGCGAGGAATAATTCTCTG